ATACAGTTAGTAGATCCAGAAATGCGGTTAGTAGCAATAATAATATATATATATAGTCTGGGAAATTTAGTATCGAAGTAGGACTTCCTTCTGAGTTTACGTGCTCGCAACTGTGACTCCTACAAAGCGGTTACCTCACACTCTCACTCTCTCACTGTATCACTGTATCACTGTATCAAGTCCCGGGTATTCACCGGCAGCAGTACAAGTACACACTGGTCGAGTCCACTTGTATGAAAAAGGGGTGGACCACATAACATTCCTGATTAAATTAAATTCAGAAATAATTACATCGGTCACACTATTGCATACCGAACCAGACGACTTACGTTATATGCTAACCTCATCCACATGTAAAAAAATATTAAAAATAATGGAAACCCTAATAATAAAAAAGTAAAAGGCAACACTCGATAACTTAACTACAAATACACCACATTATGCCTCGACCTGGGTATGACGATAAACTACATCCGCGTCCTGGGTAAGACGATAAACTACATCCAACAGGCCTCTGATCAGGTGCTTTTGAAGAGCGTGGAACGACCTCCTAATTGCTGGTGTTCCCAGGTCCATCCTGACCCGGGGTGGTAGCACCTGTTAGGGTCCCAGCTATGGGCAAACAGTTAACCCCGAAACTGTGGTAAAACACTATGAAAGTGTAAAAATAGGTTTTAATACCAGAAATACTTCGTAAAAATTATTACCAGCAATAAATTTTTGTAGAAAAAAATATTACCTGCAATATACTTTTGAAGGAAAAATATTACCAGAAATAAATTTTTGGCAAAAAAAAAAAAATATTAACAGCAATACCCTATCAGTTGTCTTTAACGAAACTTGTATAAAAGAAGGATTGCTGCTCAAATACACAATCTCTCTCTCTCTCTCTCTCTCTCTCTATCTATCTATCTATCTATATATATATATATATATGATTGTGAATTTACGTACTGCGGATCTTATTTTCGTAAATATATTAGAATGTGCAGCTTTTATATTTTATGTATGTGCATATTATAAAAAATATCTTTCGGTCTACACTACACATATTTTGTCTTGATGATTTGCCTGTGAATGGAGAAAAATAGCGCCCTGACGATGACAATGTGAAATTGTCGAAAGTACTAGGCTCATCAATTCTGTCCGACAACAGCTCCAATTTACAGCAACTCAGATATAAGGATCGTATTATTCAAGGAATTGATAGTAAGTTAATGTCTCATTAAGTCTTGTTAGCGAAGTGATCCCGCTATAATTCTCATTAGCATTGCTAATTAATTCTTTGCATAAATTACTTCTTTATGATATAATATAAAAGCTGCACAATTTAATATATTTACAATATATATATATATATATATATATATATATATATATATATATATAAAAATGAAATGGATTGAGTATAACAATTATTTAATATTTTAATATATTATCTGTCTATACGTTATTTTTATACATATAATTATTTAAGTAAATGTTCTTTTTATAATAAACAGTATTAATTTAATTACTGAATGTCCGAGAAATTTCTTAGAATATATGTGTTCGTTCGACAGAAATCGAACCTGTGTCCTATACGGAACCATCATTTGATCTGACGTGCTCTACCATACAGCTGCAGAGGAAGATATTGGTTAGCAAAGTCCACATTATGGTATAGCACGTCCATAGTTACAGTTTCTGTGCGAGAGCTCAATCATCTGGCTTGATGACCAGTTTGATTAATTCCAGTACGCTCACACTCTCGGTCAAGATGACTTGTTGCTTCGTGCTAGCACAACCATTGACGGCTTCCGAACAGTTTCGTATATGCAGTTTAACTCATAAAGATTGTGTCAACCCGTCGCATGTTTTTCAGGTACTACCCAGACTGTGCCGCACGCTGGTCGCGTCTACCCAAGTTCGACATTATCAAGACGTCACCTCTCTGTCAAATCGACCATGTGAGATTGCTACGCCAGTCTCATGGGTATTTGTTTTATATAATTACATATATTTAGTTGGTTGATTTTGTTTAGCGATATATCAACACCTCCGTGGGTTATTTTATGCTGGATTCTAAACATTTTTCAAACAATTTTATGTCTTCAATTAAATATATTTCTAACGCAATTGTATATGCCTTCAACTACAGGTAAAGTGTATTGTTGTTAATTCTACTATAAATACATATTGGTGGTGTTATGGTCCAGGTTAGGACCAAGGAAGAACAACACGAACACAAGAGTAGAAATAACGAAGGTATATTACACGAAATAATAATACAAGATGTGGAAGGTTTTAGTATGACTGTCAGTCTGGTTAGGAGTGAACTACTATCGGCTAGACTCGATTCGACCCTCTCTCTTGAGAGGCATAGTTTTAGGAAGAGTTCATTCTGTAGTTATAGGTAAGGACCCATGACAGTTGGTAAAAATGTATTGCTGGTAATTTTACTATAAAAATGTATTTTTATAATTTCATAGGGGTTTGTTATTGTTTGGCTATTCAATATTTGCCCATAGCCTGGATCCTAAAAAGTACTACCATCTTGGGTCAGGGTAGACCAGGGAACAACAGCAATTAAGTGGCGGTCCCAGGCTCCTCAAAAGTTCCAATCTCCCGAGCAGAGCTCTTGCTGCAGGATGTAGTTTATCGTCATACGCAGGACTATGAAATATATTTAATATATTTTACTATCAGGCTTCGACCGCTCATTATCGCTTCGTAAACTAAGATATATTTACTACTTGAAATCTTTGAAGCAAAAAATTTAAATGAACATTCCATTCATAAATTAGCTTGTTATAATTAAGGAAAGTGTTACAAATAGATGCCAACTTGTTGAAGGCCAAGTAAAATAGAAATTTCAAACACTTTTCTGCACTATGTAAGACAGTATTCCTAAACAGAACTATTTTTGATATTAAAATCAAAATGATCCTTGCATAAAAGAACACTAATGAAGGACAGTTAATTAATGAAATATACTTTTTTTAAAAATCAATATGCAAATTAGTTAAACCTGAAGAGGATAGTGCCTTGAAGTAGATAATATATAATACATATATTGAGCTCAAGAATTATAATAATTTAATTAATTGACTAATTTATACTCTTAGAGCTCAATGTCTGTATTATATATTATCTACTTCAAGGCAATATCCTTTTCAGGTTCAACTAATTTGTACATGGATGTAAAAAAGATATATCAAAAATAGTTCTGTTTAGGAATATTGTCTCATGTAGTACAAAAATGTTTAAAATTTGCATTTTACTTGGCCTTCAACAAGTTGTCATCTATTTGTAAAACTTTCTTTAATTATAAGAAGCTAATTTATGAATGAAATGTTCATTTAAATTTTTTGTTTAAGATATTTCAACTAGTGAATATATCTTAGTTTATCTTTATAATTTATACTCTTAGAGCTCAATATCTGTATTATATAAATTATATATCTATAAAATAGAGTTGGGGCTTTTAAACCCCAGAATTCGTTGAATAATTGTGCTTCAATCTCACTTAGATTCCATAATATAGGTTTTACTTAATTAGCTATTATGTTTCTCTAGCTTTTCAAATGTTGAATGTATAATTAATTCTATTTTCCTATCTTTATACAATATTAATTTTATTTCTTAAATTGTCCCCTGTTCTGTCACCCATGAAATAAAAATAATTGTTTTTTTACGGAATATTAGGATCTATTTATATCAAATCGTCTTTAAATTAAGTGGCAGCAGAAGAATTATCGTCGAACTTTTAAAAGGTAACATTAATTAAATACTTAAATACAGCGATCAATTTTGAGTTCATTTGTAGTTTATTGATGCCTGACGCATCTACTCTTCCCCAGCTATTGAGATGATGGCCAAACCAAGAGGAGCTAGCTTAAATGGCGCCCAATAGGGCGGCTTTTAAGCTAGCTTATAATAAAACGTGCACTTCAATTTTGGATATAAAAGGAAAATAAGAGTTACTCCTGTTGAACCATGAAAATAACGATAATGGCTAGTATAATATATTAATATATATTTTTTAACCTCGCATAATCTGGCGACCCTGAATCTGAGCTCAAAGAAAATCGTTCCCTGCGCCTAACTTTTCTAGGGGTTTTGAATGTGCTATGAATCATTGAAATCGGAACAGTGAAAGCGTAGGAGTTGCTTGGACACACACATACGCACAAACACACACACACATACACTGTACTTTATATATAAGATATTATATATTAATAATATATATATTAATAAACAATTTTTCCCGACAAAATCTAGCTTACATAAGTCTAACAATCGTCTTTGCTTTGAATATTGCTGCAACATCTGGTCGGATGCTCATGCTATATATTTAGAGTTTCCAAAGAAGAATTTGCAATATTATTGGTCCTGACCTGGCATCTGGGCTTCAGTCACTTTTCCACTGCCGTAACGTAGCGTCTCTAAGCCTTTTGATGGTAATTGTTCTGATGCAATTTCCTCAATCGTACCTAGCCTTTATCAAGTAGTACTAGATTGGCGAGTAGGTCTCAACATTTAACAGCTGAAATAGCCAGATTCAACCGTAAGTTCTATGTTAACAGTTTCTTCTATCTCACTTTTTGTTTGTAGAAATCCCTTCCGGCTTCTTGCCTCCTAGTCAAATTTGATTTTCCAAAATTTAAATGCAATATCAATCTTTTTCTTCTGTCTTGTTAATTCCTGTTCTTTGATTGTTTTCTCTCCTTTAAACTTTTTTTGTCATATTTTCTAACACTTAGTAACCCCATTTGTCTTAGTGACTTTATTGCCTTGCCTGAAGCATGGAGCATAAAAAGCAAGCAGACAAGATCAAGAAAATTACAGCAATCCTTGAAGCCAGCATAGTAAATGTCTTTCATTATAAAAAAAAGAAGAACGTGAGTATACGAAACGCGATAAAAGCCAACGCGCGAATCGCAATATTAAAACAAAAATAATTAAACTGTCGACATGACAAACATCTTTGAAAGTACTTAGATATGAAGAGTTCTATGAGCCACGACCAACAGGAAATGAAAGTTATATATATATATATATATATATATATATATATATATATATATATATATATATATGTATATATATATGTATATATATATATATATATATATATATATATATATATATATATATATATATTAACCGGAGATAGAATGTTTATAGATACAGCGTGTTAGCATAGGCGTCAGCACTGCATAGTATCTCCTACGTCCACAATATATCTATCTCTCTCTTGTCTATCTATGTAAATTTATATATCGATTGATATCTATCTATCTATCTATCTATCTATCTATCTATCTATCTATCTATCTCACTGTGTCCATATCTATCTATCTCACTCTGTACATACATATCTATCTATCTATCTATCTATCTATCTATCTATCTATCTATCTAATTCTGTTCCTTATCTATCTATCTATCTATCTATCTATCTATCTATCTATCTATCTATCTATCTATCTATCTCATTGTGTCCATATCTTTCTATCTCACTCTTTTATCATCTATCTATCTAACTATCTATCTATCTATCTATCTATCTATCTATCTATCTATCTATCTATCTATCTATCTATCTCACTCTGTACGCATCTAACTACCTATCTCACTCTGTACATATCTATTTATCTATCTGACTTTTTTATATTTGTTGTCGCGGTAAGTATCTGAAGCTAATGTTAATTGTGTCTACGCACTCGTTGTCACTTGAACCTAAGCTTATTTGTATATCTAAGTGAACACTGGAGTGTTTTATTCTATCTACATTCTTTATTACGCAAAAAGAAAAAAAAATAACGTAAAAAGAACAAAACATACAGATTAAGTGAAAAAAAATCTATGTCTGACAAGCAATGAAGCATGCTTCAGACGATCGTTTTTAAAGACATATGCATGTACCATTTGTTAACAATAAGGAAGAATGCGGAAGAATGAAAAAAAGAAAGAAAAGAAAATACATGACAAAAAGTAATGCTTACTCATCAACAGTCGTCTTTAGTGTAAACATGTGTAAGAATTTCTCTGAGTCTGCGCGATCTAAATTAATTGACACGCAATAGAGGACCCAATAAAATGACTTTCTCTATACAAGCATATCATTTTCTGATAACGCCTCAGTTTCCTTCCACCACCCTCCCTCAACACTTCCCTAGCAACAGGTTGTCATGACGTCATACTAGAGCTTCGAAAATGTTAATTATGACGTCGACGACTGCATCCAACTCTCAGCCAATCAGTCAATAGCGTTTTGGGTTGTCAACCATGGTCGCCGCTGCTGCTTACGTGCTGATGCCCGGTGGCAGCTTCGAAAAGCGTTTAAATGTCTGTGGAATGGTGCTTCTAAATTTAGACTAAGAAGCTGATGCGTAAAGAACGGACATCAATCAGAATGCCTCCAAACACACTCGCACACTTATACACACGCACACACACACAGACACACACACACAGACAAATGAACACATGTAAGACATATATGCCTACACAGACGTACCTACAAACATACTTTTGTTCACCCTGTACAAGGCCCGGAGCCTACTCAAGGTAGAGGGTTAATTTTTTTTTTGACTAATGTTCATCCAATACAAGGCTCAAGAGCAACTCAAGTTAGAAGTTACTGTGTAGTTATATTAGCGTAGGAAAGAACAAGAGTTAGTATAGAGCTGAAACAACCTTTTGAAGGAACCGGAAACCCAAGCAGGAAACAAAGGATAAACCTCTACTCCTGTTCAAAAGACCGTGGAGGAGTGTGAACCGGACAATAAGCGTAGTTTATATGGATAGTAGGTGAAGATAACTGTTAACTCTAGACTTGAACAGGTTAAGATTGTAGTAATCGGGGAAGCATCCTCTTGGGAGTCGGTTTCACAGAGCAGTGGTTCGTGGCGAAGAAGCTGTTCGAGTGGAGCTTCTCACCGATGGAATACGGGGGCAATGTGGGTGGTTTGCTACTGTGTAAGTGGCATGACGAGTCCTAGCCGAGAAGGTTAGACCTGGCGGAAACAAGTAATGTAGCTCGTCCGAGCACTTTCCAGGGAAGTAGCGATAGGGCAGTGAGAGACTCGTGACATCCCGCCTGAGAGAGAAGTTGGAAGCTGGAAAATAATTCGTCACCCACGAGGACGCATTTGGACTACTTATGCACTCAAACAACGGCGCATATGCATACCTACGCATATATCTATACGCAAATGCATACACAGGCACATGTTGCAGCTGAGAACCTACTCCACGCATACAGGTTCGAAGCATCCTTTACAGCTAAGGTCCGCTATGCCACGTATACACGGTCGAATCATCCCCATTCTATTCGTATTCCATTTGTAAGGAGGACGTTCCTCTTAGACAGCATCTATGTAAAAACCGACACTTTGTGGAACAGGCTCCCGAGAGGATGCTTCCTTGATCACTTTAACCAATTCAAGTATAGAGTCAATCGTTATTTACTTTCAGCAATCCCATTCAGTAATCCTATTCCTTGAGTAGTTCATGGACCTTAAACAAAAGAAAAAATAATCATCTCTCTCTCTCTCTCTCTCTCTCTCTATATATATATATATATATATATATATATATATATATATATTTATATATATATAATAAATATATATATAATAAATATAAATAGTTATACTCGTCCGGAAAAACCTTAGGTGTTTTGGCTTGTAAATGAACAAACCAATACCCAAGGAAAAATAAGGAATAAAAAAAGAAAGAACTAAGAACATGTAATTGCGGCGAAAACAATCGCCCAGAATCCAAATTCAGATTCCAAAGAAAAAACCTCCAACACAAGTAAAGCAAATGTAACTAAGTAAAGTGCTCAATACGCTAATTAGAGCAGACCTAAGTATGAACCTAAAGAGCTAGGTAAAGTGCACCCTGACGATCTGCATAGGTGAAACCTAGGCAGGTTTACCTAGCTCTTTAGGTTCATAGTTATATATATATATATATATAATTATTTATTTAAAAATATGATTCCAACACGCTACATAAGAGTTCTCATGTTTCAAAACAAAAGCCGAAAACTTCAATATAATTATTTGAATTAAATTGAATTAAAGTAAGCTCTGTTCCATCTTCAAGCGAAATTTTTTTTTGAATAACTTATTTCTGAAATTTACGTGTTTTAATAGCATATTCATTATTGAAATCAAAATTTCCATGGTAACGGCTAGAGCGATTGTTTAAATAGAAAGGGTGTAGGGTGTTAATAATTTGTATCAGTATAGAGTTACATTCATAGATGTCAAGTCAGGGTAAGGTGGGGGTGTCTAAATTTAAAACGGAAGATGATTTCGTCTAGTCTGGTTTACGTGTCTATGGAGATTTATTTATTTTTTTATTTTATTTTTTTCTGAAAGGGTTTTGTGTATATAAAAAAAACTGCCGTAACATTTGTTTTTTGACGACTTCATAAAGGGTTGGTATATATATATATATATATATATATATATATATATATATATATATATATATACCTACTCACATACACACATGTGCCTACAAACATAACTACTTACATATCATACACGCACATTTGACAGCTAATACCCACCATGCCTTGTATATAGTGTGTAATCGTCATCGCTAAAAAACGTATACAGGATCGAATAATCTTCATTCCATTGGTATTTTATTGGTAAGGAGGAACTTCTACTTAGACACTTAGAACCATTACGTTGCGGAAAAACTCCTGAGAAGACCGTTCCTCGATCGATACAATCTTAACCTCTTCAAGTCTACAGTCAACCGTTACCTACTTTCAACAGACCCATTCAGCAACCATCTTTCTTTTGATTTTAATCAATTCACCCCAAGTAAGGCAATAATGCCATTAAGATGAAAGGAGCTGCTGGGAATAAGAGATAATGAGAAGACTTTAAAATGAACCGGAAACCCAATCCTAAACAGGAAACAAGTGATACAAGTGAAAGTATACTTTTTTTTAAAGATCAATTCACCCCAAGAAAGGCGATAATGCCATTAAGACGAAAGGGGCTGCTCGGAGTGACAGAGAATGAGAAGACGTTAGTAGGAACCGGAAACCCCTATCTTAAACAGGAAGCACGTGATAACCTCTACATTTTTTTAAATCAATTCACCCCAAGAAAGGTGATAGTGCCATTAAGACGAAATGGCCTGCTGGGAGTGAAAGAGAATTAGACGGCTTTAGAACGAACCGGAAACCCAATACTAAACAGGGAATAAGGGATAAGCCTGTAATCTCTTTTTGAAAAAGAGGGGACGTGTGTGAACCGGAGTCGTTCACGGGCCTTGTGTCATAAAAAAATTAAAAAAAAAAAGAATATCAATGCATATTCACATACCTACTCACATACACACATGTCCATACATGCGTACCTACACACACATCGTACACGCACATTTTACAGTTAATAGCCACTATGTCATGCATAAACACTATGATTATCTTTAACAGCTAAAACCCGCCTAGAAATGCCCCAATCATCTTCATTCTTTTTGTATTGTATTGGTAAGGAGGAAGTTCCACTTAGACTACTTCTTCCCAAAGATCACCACTACTCAGAAAAAAGTAAAAACTCTTAAGACGACGTTCAAGCGTCGGATCAATCGTTATCTAGTTTCAACAGGCGCCATTCAGAAACCCTCTACCTTGAGTGACTCTTGGGCGTTGTATTGGATCAAAAAAAGTAACAAAAAAATCTATGCATGTACACATACCTACTCACATACAGATATGTGCATACGCACATACCTACGCACATACAGATACATATATTCACATACACAAATATATACGGGGCACTTCCACGTGGTGTAAGGGTCGGCAAACTTGTCTCGCTAGATTAATTACGAATGAGTAACGTGTTCGATTTTCACTTGATTCTTCAAACTTTGGGCCTTGTGCCACAACTAAGCTACACTTAAAAAGTCATTTTAGGCACTTCGACATCAAGTAATGGTTAACAAGCTTGTCTTGCTTGATCAATTAAGTCTAAGTAGCGAGTTCGATCCTCACAGAATGTTCCATATATCCAGCTTTGTGCTACATCAAGGCAACGCTTAGAAAATCTCCGTATATATACAGAGGGCTCTTGATTGGGTCTTCATCACAATAGTTAGGGAGAAGTATCAGGTCATCCCATAAGTTCTGTCCGAATTTTGAATAAAGAATACAAGTGACCAAATGTTACATTTAATTACAGATTCAATCAACTATGTATTTTCCCTGATTATCTATGACTTCCTTCCATCTATTAACAAGCTTACTAATTCCATTACTGTCAAATTCTTTTGGCTTTGATTCGAAGAACTCACAAATGTCAGTTTTGACCTCTTCCTGTGTTACAAAAGCTGTTTCTTCCAAATGATTCTGTAAGCTACGAAACAAATGGTAGTCTGAAGGAGCAAAATTGGGAGAATAAGGTGGATGAGGAATTTTCTCCCAACCAAGTTCTTCGATCTTTTGTGACGTGATTCTTGCTGTGTGGGGTCGTGCATTGTCCTGATGAAACATCACCTCTTTTCGATTCACTAAAGCAGGTCTTTTTTCCTAAAAGCTTGGTTCAAACGCTCTAATTGCTGACAGTATATTTGAGCATTAATTGTTGCATTAGGTGGTAAGAATTCAAAGTGGATTATTCCTCGGCGATCCCACCAGATTGAAAGAAGAACCTTTTGCCCATGAAGTTCCCTTCTCGGCTGTGGCTGGGGTCCTTCCCCTTTACCAAGCCACTGTCTACGACGCTTAACATTTCGATAAAAGATCCATTTTTCGTTGCCAGTCACAAGTCTGTCTAAAAAAGGTGAAACAAGTTGGCGAGAATGGAGAGAAGAGCAGATGTCAACTCGGGATTTGAGGTTGTTTTCAGACAATCCATGCGGCACGCATTTTCCAAGTTTAGGAAATTTTCCAAGTTGTTGAAGATGACGATGAACAGTTGTATGGTTTGAACTGAGAATCACTGCCAATTCCTCAACTGATAAAGCAAGATTTTCTTCAAGGGCTGCTCCAAGAAGCTTTTCATCAAACTCAACTGGGCGTCCGATTCGATCTTCATCTTTAAGGGTGAAATCTCCACCTCTGAATTTTGCAAACTATCTTCTTCAAGTTCTTTCATTCACACATTCCTCTCCATAAACTGAGTGAATGTTTCTAGCCACTTCGGCTGCTGAGTTTCCTTTCTTGAACTCATAAAGTATTATGTGCCTCAAATGATTCTTGAGTACTTCCATGTTAGCAGGGTTTTAATCAAACAAAATTTAATTTTATTGTTCTCTGAAATAAAATTTGATCAGTTTAAATGCATCTAAACATGAAAATAA